TTGGATAAAATTATTCAGACCATCTTTGAGGACATGTCATGGGCACCGAATATCTATTCGATTTTAAATGTGTTAACTATGCGATCTACACAAACAACACTGCCGTCCTCCAGTTCATGTTTGAACAGAGTCCGGTCATAATCAAGGATCGTATGGAGTTTGGAAGGAGGATCATTCGAAATTGCGGCACCTTGGAGACACTTCAATGGTTCTTTGGCACCAATGATGACAATGAGATCCTGCGGCACCTAGGTGGATCGAATACTCATATGACAACAGATAATCAAGACAACTCTGATGCCGAGGATGATGATGATGATGATGATGATGATGATGATGATGATGATGATGATGATGATGATGACGATGATGACGATGATGATGATGATGATTATTATGACTGGCTTAAAAGTGACACCTTCAACAAGAATGATCTAGAAGATGACTTTACACCTACAAGGTGGTTCCTCCATCGAATTGGCTACCAACTCTCCGATGGATTATTGGAAGATCATAATCTCTACATTTGGGACAATCATTCGGATAACACAATGTGCATAGAATAAATAATTGATTCATTGATTAATTGAATGATTAATTGATCACTGAAACCTTTAAATGTTTTGTACTTTCATTTTATAGTGTTTATAATCAATGTCATGCACGCGATGATCATTCATTCAATCAATCGTTCATTCAATCAATCGTTCACTCACTCAATCATTCCATCAACCTATCGATGCCATTCTTTATTTATTCATTCAATAAATCATTCAATCACACAATCATTTAATCATTGATTGATTAAACAATCAAACGCACTGTCCTTTAAATAAAAAGTATCATACGTATGCATTGCCGACTTCCCAAGAAGGTGTTTTGGAAGCGACTGTCCATTTTATATGTCCTGGATCGAATCTAGCCTCCCATCTGACCTCTATTAAATCTAGATTTTAATTTTATTTTAATTGATCTAGATCTGTTGTTTTGACTCCTCACTCATTTGTTAATGCATTAATCTCATTCATTGTTATTCATTCTCAAACACAGAGATCGTAAACAAGTACAATATCAAAGAACAGACTGATGGGACATGTGTACAACTCACCAACTTGTCTAGATTCGCTCGCTCCTCCTTGAGCATGAGACGCACAAACCTGTGGTCAAGGTCATTGTTGGAAATGCAGCGACCCCACCAGGCCAGAGAGCATACAAGGCAGAGAGGATCTTTCTGAAGATCAGTATTGATGGATGCACACTTTCAAACAATCAAATGTTGGTCATTGGTTGCGTCCAACTCATCTATGCATCAAAGACCAAGAGGAGGGTCAAGTGTCCATATGACAGTCACATCTTCTTGGCGTATGTCGGCGACGAGTTACACCAGACTCTGACAGTGCAGCTTGAGAACTTTATCACAGAGCTTAGACAACTGCTCCAAGGCAGACAAAAGTTCTTTATGACATCAGACGATATCAAAGATGACAATGAACAGTCACAGGACATGTATGTATACTTGCAAACAAACACGTGTACATTCAATCACTAACATAGCAACAATTAATGCACAACAGACGATATTCAATCGAGCCAGTAGTCGTTGCTGACATGGCTCCTGGAAATGTTTGGATTTTATGCTGTATGGATGTCACAGACCAAGTATCGTTGCCCTTGGTGCAACGTCACCAAAGATCAACTTCACGATTGTTCAATTCCAAGTCACCAACAACGACTACTATCAGGTGTTAAACCAAACGAGAAGAACCCAGCATTGGCCTACGGCCACAAGGTAAGACACTCACTCAATCATTCACTCACTCAACTCTGCTCATTCATCACATTCGCCAATGCTGAATGAAAAGATTGGGGGTCACCTCTTTCAAAAAAAAAATGTAACAAGAACCTAAACATGAGCCACTCATCCACAAAGTCTCAATGTTTCTTTATCATTTGATATTTTGTGTCATAATCATAATTATAAAATAATGATATTTAGGATTATATGCTCTATCTGTTACTACTCTGACTATTCTCTTTACCCCCACATGTACTTAGCCACATCTAAATATTAATATTATTAAGTTATGACCCTAAACATCCATCCATTTTCGTTCTCTCCGCTACACCAAATACACACACAAGAATACAACTATCAATCATGTTCGCATTGATGCCTGTCTATATATTGAGGATCATAGTTTCGCATCTTGATTACATTGATACAATATGTTTAATCTTTGTTAGCAAATATATATTCAATCTGCAAAAAAGCATCGCTCCCTTTTTGAAGCATCACCTCACTTCACTACCAAAACCAAAAGACGACTGGAGAGCATTTAAACACTTAACAAATAACCCTAAACAACCATCGGCTACACACTTTAAAGTCGTCCTCCAGACTCATCTTTTTCATATCCCCTCATCAGTCATAAGCTTGGACTTGGAAGTCCCCACCCCTTTGCCTCAACCTCTTCTCCTAGGTGAATGTATACCACAATCCGTGATACAATTATCATTGATAGATTTTAATCAACCACTCCAAGTTGGACTTATTCCACCATCAGTGAGACAGTTATCATTGATAGATTTCAATCAGCCACTCCAAGTTAGACATATTCCACTATCAGTAACACAACTATCATTGTATCGTTTCAATCAACAACTTCAATTTGGACATATTCCACAATCAGTAACACATCTCTCATTGTCAGATTTCAACAAACCACTTCAAGTGGGACATATTCCACAATCAGTAACACAACTCTCATTGGAATATTTCAACAAACCACTTGAAGTGGGACATATTCCTCAATCAGTGACTCATCTCTCATTGGTTCGCTTTGACCAACCACTTCAAGTGGGGCATATTCCACAATCAGTGACACAATTATTGTTGGTCGACTTTGATCGCCCGCTTCAAGTTGAATATGTTCCTCAATCAGTTACCCAATTATTTTTGGCCCGTTTCAATCAACCTCTACAAGTCGGACACATTCCACAGTCTGTGACACAATTGTCATTGGATGATTTTGACCATCCACTTCAAGTTGGACATATTCCACAATCAGTGACAGAATATTCGTCATCAAGTTTCGATCAACCACTTCAAGCTGGACATATTCCACATTCAGTGACACAACTTACATTGAGAGATTTTAACCAACCACTTCAAGTTGGACATATTCCACAATCAGTGACACAACTTTCATTGACCATTTTCGACCAACCACTTCAAGTTGGACATATTCCACATTCAGTGACACAACTTTCATTGAGAGATTTTAACCAAACACTTCAAGCTGGACATATTCCACCGTTAGTGGCACAACTTTCATTGACAGAATTCAACCAACCACTTCAAGTTGGACACATACCACAATCTGTAAGGCGTTTAGCTTTTGGTTTCTTTGACAAATATCTCACAACCGGGTACATTCCATTCGTCACATCACTTACTATCAAATATTGTGGCTTCTCCCCCGAGAATCTTAATCTTCATGGACACACCCATCTCAATGAGCTCACTGTTGTCCACAGTCCCGGTAGAAACTCCAGGCAGGCAGCCTCATCATTTTTGGATTTGAATTCGGATTATCTGGCAAAGATGAAGGGACTATCACATCTCATTATCCAAATACGGCCACTGGTCCAACTGAGCGCAATAAGCGAGGGTTTGCCACCATCCTTCTTACACTTGCTGAAGTCAATTCCAACAATAACTCTACAGTTCATGAGACTTCAATTCACCGACTTTGAGACAACATGGAGGCTTATCGACGATCAAACAGCTGTGTTTGTACCTGTAACTGATGCAAACTGTAATGGAGTTATATCATTTTGGAACTTCCCAAAAACAACAAACAATAAATAATAGACATAGACCATGACAACAAAGAATGGAAAGGTCAATATTGACTCTTTCGACGATGAAACGAAACATTGGACAAATCGAAGTTTTAGTCAGTCAAGGTGCCATAATCAATGATATCACATAATTATGTGTCTAGTGTTGTTTCCAGTTACAACACCAAACGATCGCCTCATTGGACAGCACCTATGCCTTTTTCGGGGCTGGGACGTCCCATTTTTGGGGACGACGCATGCGTCGTAGGAAATTTCAAAATGTTTTGTAGGCTGGTGTGTGAAACAGCAGATAGTTTTGAATTGAATCGGGGGCAAGTGTCACTCACAAAAGAACATTCATTCTACGTTTATCACTTCCATTCATTATTAATACATACATACGTATAGATATATACAACATACATATAATATTTATTACCATTACAACTTAATCAATAACAATAATAACAACAACAACGACAAATCAAACAATATCAACAATGATTGCTCAACAACAACAAGCTACTACTACTGCTGCAGCTGTACCAGTGACACCAAGATACCAAACATCGGTACTGTTCTCAATCAGTGACAAGATTGGTGGACTTAACGAGTACCTTGAGGTGATCAAGAACCACAAGCTCAACATTACTCGTATTGAATCTCGTCCATCCAAGACTGAGAAGTACGACTATGACTTCTTCATGGATCTGGCCTCCGATGATGCCAACACCAACAACATTGACGACGTCATCGCTGAGCTCAAGAGCAAGGGTGTCGAGACCACCGTCCTCACTGAGACCAAGCAGCAACAGCCACAGGCAAACACCAGTATGTGTTCGAATTGACAACCTGCCGCATAATCAATCAATCAATCAGTCACTCACTCACTCACTCACTCACACTTACATTCATCAATGAATAACACAGTCCCATGGTTCCCAAGAAAGATCTCTGACTTGGACCTGTTCTGCAACAAGGTGTTGGAGATGGGATCGGAGCTATCCTCTGACCATCCAGGCGCCACTGACCCAGTATACATCCAGAGACGTAAGGAGATTGCCCAGATCGCAGCAGTCTTTAAGTACGGCGATAAGATCCCACATATTGAGTACTCTGAGGAGGAGATCAAGACATGGGGCGTCGTCTTTAGAAAGCTCAAGGAGATCTATCCAACACATGCCTGTCGTCAGCACCGCTACGTGTTCCCCTTGCTCGAGCAGAACTGTGGATTCTCCGAGACCAACATCCCACAGCTGCAAGACATCTCTGAGTTCCTGACAGAGTGCACCGGCTTCCGTCTAAGGCCTGTGCAAGGACTGCTATCATCACGTGACTTTTTGAACGGTTTGGCCTTCCGTGTCTTCCACGCCACCCAATACATCAGACATCACTCTGTTCCCCTGTACACTCCAGAGCCGTATGTATACAGAGAACTACTTTAGCCAACAGACACTCTTATTAACTTACTACTACCACCATACCCAATAGTGATGTATGCCACGAGCTGTTAGGTCACGTGCCATTGTATGCTGATCCGGACTTTGCAGACTTTAGTCAGGAGATTGGTTTGGCATCGCTCGGTGCTTCTGATGAGGACATTGTTAGACTTTCAACGTGCTACTGGTTCACAGTGGAGTTTGGCCTGTGCAAGGAGGGTGACTCGGTTAGAGCGTATGGCGCTGGCCTGCTGTCATCGTTTGGTGAGCTGGACTACTGTCTGTCGGACAAGCCAGAGAAGAGACCATTCGACCCGTTCGTCACCTGCAAGCAGGAGTACCCCATCACCCAGTACCAGCCCACGTACTTTGTTGCTGAGAGTTTCCAGAGTGCCAAGGAGAAGATGAGAGCGTTTGCCGAGTCGCTCGAGAAGCCATTCAGTCTCCGCTACAACCCCTACACGCTCTCCATCGAGATACTGGACAACAAGGACAAGTTGATTGGCCTGTGCAACCAGATCAAGGCACAGACCAACAATCTTGCCTCGGCCATCTCAAAGTTGAACGTTAACTAAGAGAGAATGAGTGTTGTGGATCATTCATTCATTCATTCATTCATTATTAAGCCTGGACCATATATTTACATGTTTGCAAACATACACTGTACATACGCTCGTGTCCATCCAGGAAACAAGTGCATGGTTGTGCTGGTAATTATACTCTCCAGACATCATGCCAATAAATCAATATGATATCTAGGCATAACAACAACAACAACATTGGCTGATTGATCAACTTCTGATGTTTGTGAGCAAAAACGAAAGGCGGAGATGATGATCAAAGTTGTCAGGTGGACACAAAAAGGGTTTAAAACTACAATTAGATAAAGAGATAGACAGATAGATAGATATAGAAGGATGGAACAAGGACAAAAGTTTACTATTAGACAATCGAGGGACTTGCTTATCTCATTGTTCCCAGAGTGTGAGACAAAGATCAAGGCAGATGTTGACTGCTTCCTCAAGTTTGGTCCAGAGCCAGAGAAGTTGACGGCCAACTGTGCCAAGGAGAACTGGGACTGCACCTTGTGTATATCTCTTTGTGATGCTGCTAAGCCATTGCAGAACTGTTTGCAATCGAATAACTATCAGAAATCAGCTTGTCAGAATGAGGTAAGAGAGTTAGAGATAGAGATTGATAAAGAGAGACTGGTGTTGTCAAGGTCTAACAACAACTACTACAACAACAACAACAACTAGATCAACAAGTTCTTGACAGAGTGCAAGCCAGAGAATTTGAAAGAAAAGATTGAGAAGAGAGCTGCTGCTACTGCTGCTGGTAAACAGTAAACTACCCTATACTACTATTATTACACAGTTAATGGATGCATTGCGCTACTAGTTGGATTGGTAGAGGGAATAGTCATGTCGTTTATTTAGATCTGACAGTCTGCAGAGATGAACTTGACTGATTGTGTCGTGTGGTGGTAGTTCGTTATCCTCCCACACAGTGCATGTCGACTTGGCTCATTGATCAATGAGCTTAGGTACCTGTGTATGTTTATATATAAGCTGGGCTGAGAAGTGATTGATTGATTGATTGATTGGTTGATTGGGGAAGTTGACGCGTCCAATTACACAGACACAACAATGATGTCATGTATGATGTAGTTGTACAGATTACTGAGCCTGGCCATGTGTATATCTCTCTCCACAGTTGCAGCAAACAAAGAAAAGTGTCATCTTATCGCTCTTTCTACCCAGTGACTGGAAGAATATAGCCTCTCTACCGCCGCATTGTGGACACTTTGATCCTCTTGTACGAGGCAGTGTCGGATCTGAAGCTATATCAAGTGAGATCTGTGTTCGCTCTCTTAACATGTCGTACAAGTAATGTTAGTTCGATGTTGATTGATGATGATGATAGAGTCATTCTATAACGTACTCTATTGAGTGTTTGATTTCGTTTCTATATACACGTTTGTCTTCAGCTACCTCCTTGTGATCGCATACCTTGCAGGAGAGCAGCAGTTCTCTAGTTTGATTGTTCGCTACTGGATACAATAGGTTGTTGCTAAAGTATACATGAATGATTTGAATACCAAGACGAGTATTGTTTGCAGTTAGACACCATTAACGTCCACATCCATCTGTGGCGCGCTCACTTTCCCTTCCACATCGTCATGTCATAGTGTATATACCATTCGCTACAAAAGTTCATTTCTCAATGCTATGCACCTGTCCTATATCTGGCACCACCGCTGTCGTAGACACAACAGATAATATAATATATGATGTCACAGACTGCTTGCACTTGCGATGAATAAACTCAATTTGAGCCCTCCTCACTTCAAGTCGTCACTTGATGATGAAAAGTTTTTGGGTGTTTGTCTACAAACTCAACTTCACCTTGGTAGTATCCTGGATAATTAATTATATATAATTGGTAATCGTAATAGTAGTAGTAGGATGTTTATTCCTCGATTGAGTGAGCGTCATCATCCTCATCGATATCTTCATCTTCATCTTCTTCCTCCAACTTTGTCAAAATTGTACTATGTTTCTGTTGTTGATTTTGATTGTAATGTTGTTGCTGCTGTTGGTATCCCAACATCAATTGTTGTTGTTGTTGTTGGTTATAATACTGTTGTTGTTGTTGTTGTTGTTGATGTTGTTGTGAACTTGCAGCAGTTGGAGACAATGTTGTTGTCTTATAAATTGGTTGAATGATTATTGAACTTGTCTTTGTCTCCCTCTATCATGATGTTGTTTGTGTTTGTTAGTACATTGTTGTACAATGATACATAGGTGGTATGATACTTACGAGGTACTGTTGTAGATGTAGGTATTGAAGGTAGTGCATACCCTCTGGTGTTAGGTTACCAGTGTTACGCATTATTAATGTGGTGTCTTCCGTTCGCTTTGGCTTGACAATGTTCCTCCAAGGAACAACGTCGACCAAAAAGTCATATGCCTCGTTCCTCGCGATGGCATGTGCTACGTCCGTCTTGTGCAACGTCTTTCTCTTGCCAACCTCTGTGTGCACCCATGATCTAGTAGTCAAGTCCTGGATGAACAAGTCACAAGCCTTGGCCAATAATATAGGCACCCTCATATCCAATCAACTGAGATGGTGACTTTGAGTTAGTGATGTGTCGATTGTGACTTAGATGATGATGATGCCATACCTTTATCGAACTATCCTGTCTCATTTATCTTCTTGATACGAGCCAGTGGTAGTCCAGAGTCGACTGGATGTGTGGCAACATCCCACGTTGATGTTGCTCCATAGTGTGTCCAATGATGTGTCTATTAGCTTGTTGTATGTTTGTTTGAAAAGTCTGAGTTGGACGGCCATCTCATCGGGTGAGCTCTGTGGCGAGAATCGTCTTGGTGTCATTGGTGGCGTGGACAGTGGTGATATGGCGGGCATTTGAGCAGACTCAAARGGCAAACTCACTAGACTGTGCCAGGATTTGTTTGTTGTTGAGTGGCGTTTGGTGTTGATGGTGTCCCTGGCACCACGTATCTTGGTGGCTGCTGTACAACACCACCGCCAGCCGAGAATGGTGTGAGGGGAGGTGTCGTTGGTGGGGTAGTGATGTGGAATCCCTTTGTGAAGAGCAGCTGAGTGGATGGCGAGAGTGGTGACAGGGGAGGTGGCTTGTTGAATGCTTGTCTGGCCTTGATCTTAAGGTTTGGCACCAATCTTTTGACGGTGGACGTGGAGCTCGTCGAGGTGGTCGTGGAAGTGGATGGCGGAGTTGGCGGCGCAGTCACAGACGATGAGCTACCTTGCAAACTGGTGGAGGAGCTACTTGACGACTCGGTGATTGGTGTCGATGGTGTACTATTGTAAAGATTGAATGGTGGTGGTGTTTGAACTTGGCCATATGAATGTTGTAATTGTTGTTGTTGTTGTTGTTGTTGKKATG